AGCGTACACAAGGCTCCTTTTTGTACCACCAGCCGGCTGGCGGCCGGCCCCTAATTTGCATATTCGGGAGCGCTGGAAAGGGCACTCCGGTTGATCTGGTGATTTGAATATCATGATTCGCCACGTCTTCTCGCCGGTTGTTTTCTATTTGGCGTTTCTATCTCTCTCTCTCGCTCTCTTTCTCTCTCTCTCTCTCTCTCTCTCTCTCTCTCTCTCTCTCTCTCTCGCCTCTCTATTGTTTGTTGTCCACATCGTTTAAGCCGAATGTTTTTGTTGGCTTTGGCATTTTTTGGGGAGTTTCAGAACTTGTTTACGATGTTCTGGTGTTCATCTACCACCCCATTTTCAAGCAGTAATCCTCCAAATTTTTTACAAACTCCGACTCCGACATCATGTTGGTCTTATATGACACGCGTTGCCATATTGCTAAGAAACACATTGTTTTGTTTCTTAAACCGTTTAAACCATCTGATGTTTTTTACTTATATATGCCACTGCCCTGAATTAATTAACAACCAGGGTTGAAAAGCCGCTTCGCGTCTTTTCAACCCTGGCCCCCGTCTAGCATCGTAATATGCTTCATTTTGCATAATTCTCGCGAATTCCGATGACAAAAAATGAAAATCTCTCCCTCCGCCCTTTATATAGGCTCGCGCCAGTTCAGGCATATGCTAATTGATTCCTAACAAAGTGGGTGCTCAATTTTCTAACAAAAACTTAATTTTAACGTCGAAAATAGCATAATTTGCAAAATCTGATGTGTGTGCAGTCATCTCAGAGCCATTACGCACCTAATGACGTACCAGGGTTGAAAAACCGCTTCGCGGCTTTTCAACCCTGGCCCCGTCCAGGACCTGTGAAAGTCCTTAATTTGCATGTCCTTCCTGAATTCTAGCAGGAAAAAAAGTGAAAAACGGCTTCTCTGTCCCTTTATGTAGGCTCTTCCTACTTCCGGCGTATGCTAATTTCCCCTAACAAACAGGGTTTTACTAAAACCTATTTTTAATAGCGAATATACACACACACACACACAGACACTATTTTTTTATATATAGTAGGATTTTTAATGTAGTGCGGATTTAAGAAATACGGAATCTTAGTCACAAAGTATTTACTTGATAGAAAATGGGAAACAATTAAACTACAAAACTAGTGATTTTTGAATTTTTTCTTTATTTTATTAGTGAGAAGACGGCGTTGCGTTGCTTGGAAAACGGGACACGTTTTTCCTGCTTCTGTAATTATTCGATTTGTCTTGGAATTGCATTTGTCGCACCTCAGCACTGCCTATTGGGAAGCCGGCTCTCATCTTTGCGACCAATTTTCTAAAAACATTTTTCTGGGATGAAAAAAATTCCAAACTTGACAAAAACGTACAAAATTTAGTAAAAACCCCCATATTTCAAAAACTAGCATTAATCTGAAATTTTCTAATTTGTTGCACTGCTTTTTTCACACGAACCAAAAACACCACGCGAAAATTGCCTTTAAACTCGGTAAATCGGATATGTAAATTTTATGAAACACATAATATTTTCAAAAACCTCCCACATATTTCCATGTTTTTTCCCGCTTTACTGTTCAACACTGATTGTCAACACAGTGAATCGTTCGAATATCAGCCAGCAGCCCAAAATCCCGACAGCCAAACAAAAATCCCGACATATTCATGAAAAAACTAGTTTGAACGCCACTTCCTTTTGAACAGGTATTTTGCATGGCTCGTGGTATTGTAGCATTTCTCTGGGCCGTTCATGCGCTGGTAAATCTTAATGTTTTAGGAAAATGCGAACACTCAGGTCCTACATTAGATGTAATTCGTTTCCTGTAGCGTGCTTTCAATTGAGTGCGATTGTCGGCTTCGAAACGTCGGCTTGCTTCTTAATCGGTTTGCTCCGACAAAATTTTTAGAAACACTTCAATTTTAACGAAATTTCCATCCATTTTTTTTTTGGCAAGTGCATTCCAGGACATTTTGTCGAGTGCAAAAATCGAATAATTCAGCCAAAATTAATTATCGTGTATTTAGTAAAATAACAATATTTAGAGTGGAAAAACTATCTAAAAAACCACTAAAATTATTTGTTTTTTTAATAAAATTCTTGAAAAATTTTTACGTTTATGAATAATAAAATAATTGGTTTAGAAACGCTTGCTCGATTTACACCTAAACAAATTGGCTTCCTAGAAGCCACGCCTCCCCCCGCTAGTGCAAAAGCTCCGTTTATTTTATCAGTCCGCCCGGGCCAATCGAACAAACATCACACCCCGTAAACTAGCGGAATCATCGGAATCATAGACACTCTCGATCAGCACCCCTAAAACCGTCATTTGGAATGTTCCGGAAAAACCAGCAGGTAGGGAGCGGAGCGGAGCGGGAAAATGGGAGCGGAGCGCGCGAATTGAGGGAGCGCACCTAGCGCTCCCTCAACGGCCCTGATCTGCGGATTTTTGGCGAAAAATAGAGCGCCGCTAGGTAAGTGTAGTGATCGGGCGATATGAGGGGTTTTCACCAATTTTCTATTTAATTCGCCAATTCCGCGCCTTTTTTAAAGACTTAAAAACTTGTGTTTGAAATATTACCCTTATTAAAGCGGACGCGAATATGACAATCCGGCACAGTTTTCGAATCGAATTCTATAGAATATACGAAAGATTTTTATAGCTTTTCAAACAGTTTTTGATATAAGAAATTCAAAAATTCTTAAATTTTTTTGAAATTTTTGGTAAACACGGTCGGAAATTTTTGAAATTATTTATAACTCCGCGGCAATTAAAAGCCCACACTAAAACCAACAAAATTGCATGATACAAAGAAAATGTTAAAATATTTACATTTCATTTTCTTTAATTTCATTAGCATCGGTGTTTCTCAAATTCAACTAAAATAAAATTCAATTAAAATACCGGTCAATTGTAGACCTTGATCTTACAATTTCTTTGAATATTTTACTTTTTTTATCCTTTTATGCATCGTGAAAAAGATGGCCCCCTTGGCTTCATAATTTGAGTCACAGGTGTTTAAAACTAAATGTTACGAAGAAATCCCTTGATTTTTCAAATTTCAGTGATCCAATTCTTCGTCGCTGGGTGGAAAAAATTTCGTTTTGGCCCAGTTTGCGTAATAATTTTAATTCCTTTACGTTGCTATGTTACAAAGAAATTCCTATGGTTTCCAAATTTTATTTCTCTAATTTGACTTGTTATTGCATAAACTTTAGCCATAAATTTTTCGCGCGTGAAAAACGGCCCTTCAGCGCTCCCTCAAATTTCACGGGAAAATAGAGCGCTCGGGGGTGGTGAGTGCATATAGAGACACGTGTTGTGTGTCTGTATTGAGGAGTGATCGGAATGGAAATCCCTCCCCGTTTTTGTCATCTTTTCGCAGACATACCATGCACGTACACAACGCAACCCCCCGCCGTTCGTCACAAATTTCCCACTACCACAACAAAACAACGGGTCGGCTATTTTTCACGAGGGAGGGGACGGTTTTTTATCTATTTTATTTTTGAATAATTTTTAAGGAATTTGTGCTAATGGACAGTTCTGAATTAAACTTTTCGCTATTCACGACGGCGTGAGCGAGTCGCCAACGCGCGGCGTGGAGGAGCATTTCCCAACTATGAGTTTTCATAAATTCTAAAAAATCTGAAATTTCCCCCTATTTTAGGTCCTGAAATTTTGGATATCTTCCGGGGCTTCCCGTAGCCATTTGAAACGCTGGAAATACACGAAAAGTACACTGGCCATTGCAATTTCTGCCAAAGATAGTATCATATAAAAAGTTATAGCTAAAACGTGTTTTAAGCTGGTCCCCACATAGGACCATGGAGTAAAGGCTAGTTTTCGACATTCTAGATATTCTTAAAAACATTCTTTAGCTCCATTCGATAGCGCATGCAAAAATATATTAAGTGTACGAAGTTCAGCCCGAAATAATCTAAAGTCAACTCTCGCAAAAAAATCCATTTAGATTCTTATCGCTGGCACTTGTCACTATTCTGGAGCAAAAACTAAGATAAAGCCATTGGAGGAAACACTGCCGCGATTATCAGGATGCTATTTTCAAAACCACGCTTCTTGCGGTTTTGTGGCTAAAATGTTGAATGACCAATAATTCCTACGGCTTCATCGAGCTGCCAATTACAGCAGCCTTGAGGATATCACACGATTAAAGTCCTAAAGTTAGCATCTAAAGTCATTTTAAAATTAAACTACTTCAGCTCAGTGAAAATCGCAGGGGACGAAGCATAATTTTCACGAAAAATTCAATGTCAATTTCGCAGGCAAGCTCGCCGGAATCGAAATTCGATCACTATTTCACTGGGTGATTCTTCTTTCCAAAGACAATCCCAAATCATTGGTGTGAATGTGGTCAGGTAAATATTCAAAATTAAATCGAAATTTCATAATGTCGAGATTGTTTTACTAGTATTTGGGTTTTTCCGGGTGCTTTGTTTCTCTAAGTTTCGGCAGCTGGTCTGACATTTCGACATTTCGAGATTACGCCATTCGGTAATTTGAAAGTAACCGCGATTGCCGTGGCGTGGGCTTCATCACAAAAACAATCTCAAAATCCAGACTCGCAAAAATGACGTTTCACGATTCCCGCGGTTAAATTTTTTGCTGTATCCAATAATTCTTCGGCTCCGTCTGTCCCAATAATTCAAGAAGTCGACAATGTAAACGACTATTCCAAATTTCGGGCTAATATTTATTAGTTTTCGCGAAGAAACAGTTCGGTACACGCACCGGAACACCAACAAAGCGGGTCCACAAAAAAAAACAAATATCCTGTAAAGTACCATACAAAAAAGTTTTTAAAAAGCTATACAAAGACGGCTGTGTTAATGTGAGCGCAAAACTATTTACAGAAACGACGAGATCACACGCAAGATTTTGCAGGTTTCAGGGAGGTAAATTGATGGCATAGAGAGATCTTGAAGAAACACACGAGATACAGCTACGGTAATTGAGTGGAGATCAGTGCATTGTCACGGGTGGGGGAGGAGCATGAGCTGGAGAATGAGGTGAAGTAGGACGAGGCATACAATTAACAACAGAACGGCAATGGCTTTACCGGGGCGGAACGAGGGCTTGACGTTGATTTGGATTCGAGCCGGTGGGGTGATGGGTCGATTCAGCAGAGCTTCATCATCCGAGTCATTGTTGCCGAAGACGTCGCTTATCTAGAAAAAAAACCATAGAATTAAGGTAGCATGCTATACCTTTGGCGGCTGGCCAGTTTTGCGCTTTTCAATCGTTGGAGAGCGGGATCTTACGCGTCGGCTGGGCTCCGGCTTCTTCTTTTCAACCTAGAACATTAAATGTTGCGCTAAATTTGGATAAAATACCTTCCGCGGGCGAACTGGGGAAGCCTTGAAACGCCTCGGCGGGCTCGGTTGCACCCATTTCTTTGGTTGTGGCGTCGTGGAAGAGCGGCGCGAGCGTGAACGGGAACGGGATATCTAAATACGAAATGGTTTCTAGATATAGAGGTCCGAAAAACCGATTTGTTGTCAATACGTCGGACTATTATATGAATTTTCCGCGTTTCTTTTGGACCAAAATAAAATACATCCTAACTCTGCACAAAAAGGCGGACATTTTCGTATACTTTACGGCCTTTTAGCGCAAGGAAGAGTCGAGATCGCAGATTAAAACAGCATGGGTGATGAACAAGCTTTTTTGTAAATCTGTAACAAAATCTAAAAAATCGGGCATATTGAAACGATATTTTGAAGAATCCCAAAAACCAAATCTGGCAAAACGCACCCCTCCACGACTTCGCGACCTCCGATAGCGCCGCCGCTCCCGCGATCTGTCGCGTGCATGGCGGTACCGCGAGCGCGAGTAGTCAAATGTTGATGATGATGATTTGGTAGAGGCATACGTCGACGAAGACGACAGAGAAGTAGCTAAATTTAAAAAAAATACAACAACTATTTATTGTCAGTACATGAAAATGAAGAAGCGACGGAGGATTGTCTGGAGATGGAGGGCCGTGTAGCAGGCGCCACTCCCGAGATCGATTCAGTTGATGCGGCCGCCGAGGTGGGTCCGTGCTCTTGCATGGCTAAAAATGGAGTTATTAGTCAATAAAAATAGGTAGTAAAGAAGGAAACAGACAGCTAGAAGCATGAAAGTTAGATAGCTAGCTACAAAAGCTGCTTGGAAAGAAGAGAAAAAAATAGGCTCTAGATGCTAGTATTATGTTTGACCTTTCAATGTCGCATCCGCTTCTCCTCGGACCAATTACCTTAAATATTACCGAATTGGATTTATTGCGAATTTTTTTTAACCAAAAACTTCGAATCGACAAGGCCAGAGCATCCAAAACAAAATTTACCTTTCTTTCGGCCGAGCTGCCGTGCCGCTTCCGTTTCGGCGATGAGATGCTGCTGGACGAGGGCCATATTTTCGGCATAGGTGCGCTTGGCGGGCTTATCAAGCTTTGGCGCTTCCAGTGGAGCGGGCTGATGGTCGGCGCCTGGAAATAAAGATTTGAAAATGGGGATTTACTCCATGAATCATATTTTATACCAAAACGGAAGGTCGGAAACGAGCAAAAATCACCTTTCGCCACTTGTGAAGCCGATGAAGCCGTCGTTGTGAGCTCTCCCTCTTCGTCGCTCGAGCACAAATCGATCACTTCCGGCTCGTTAGTGGCGTTGTTCTTCGACGCTTGTCCCAAGTGCGGTACAGGCGGTAGCTGGGGCTTCGGCTCCTCAGGCTCATACTGATGCACATCTTGGGCTCGAGCTTGTTGACGGTCATCTACAGCGGCGACAAGTTGTTCGGTGGCATCAGTGACGGCCTGAAAATTCGTATTTAGGAAAAAAAAACATTTTTGGATCCAGAGGGTCCCGGTCCCAAATAATAATGACCACCTAAATAGCTAAAAAAAAAACTGATTTTTGACAAAATTAGGAAACGTAAAACGGTCCGCTTCGAAAACGGTTCTTTCGCCTTATGCATTCGGCTTTTTCGTTTGGCCGAAAACTCAATATTTTTGGTCTAGTTTTCCCCTTTTCAGGAAAAGTAAAAATAGTAAGCAGCTAATATCTATATAAAAGTGCGAAAACACAAAAAAATTCCATTACCACAGGCTCCGGCGAGATGGACATCCGATCGCCGGCCATTTCGCCGTTGACACTATCCGGCGGCGTGACGCCCGTGTTCCTGGCCGCCGTATCGTCACCGAATCCGCTGTCGCGAGAAGAATTGCGCGTGGCCGAATTGAGCAACGACGGCGCCACAGCATCCGGGCTAGCTCGTTGCTCGACGATCGTGTTTTCGCCAAGCATCGGCACGATATTCTTTGTCCACATCGGTCGCAACGGGGTGTCCACTATGATCGGGGGTGGCGGCGGGACCATTACTGGGAAGGGTTGGGGCGGAAGTACGGGAGCTGGTACCATCTGCGGTGGAGGAGGGACCATCACCGGCCGGGGCGCGTGTAGAGCTCCAACTTCTGCGGCATGGTGGCGTTTATCAGGACTGTACTCGTCGTAGTCGCGGAGCGGTCGGATTGTGAAAGGCTCCGGTTGAGCTCCAACTTCTGCGCCTTGGCGGCGTTGATCAGGCCTGTACTCGTTGAAGTCGCGGAGCGATGGGATTGGGACCGGGGCCGACCGACGCGCAACGTACAGCTCTTGACCAAACTGAAAAAGTATCGATAAAATAGAATCCGTAAATGTTCTTTAGTATTTCCGGGGGCGGCGTAATCCAAATTTCGTTCGTAGAATAACATTATTGAAATTTTTATAAGATAGAAGACGCGTTAAAAGGCTTTTACTATTCCAAATGTTTATATTTTTATGAACAATGCACTAAATACGATCTTTCGACCAGAAATGGCCCCCTTTCGGATCAAAATGTCAACATTTTAAAAAATTGGTTATCAATAACCAGTTATTTATGACGAAGAAAAGTTTTAAAAGGGTTTTACTACTTCAAAAACTACCTATTTTTATGAAAACCAGAAAAATTAATCAGCTGGCGGGCAAAACTAGGGTTTTCTAGCACCATTTCAGGTTTTAAAGTTTTTAAACTAATTCTTCTTAAAAACTACCAAAAATTTTAGCAAAAAACGTATCAAGGTGCTATTAGGCATTTGACAACCTAGGGAAAATTCGCTCCCTCCGGAAATACTAAAGAACCGAGCCCATCGCTCGTACCGGCTGATGGGAACAGGTGACGTCCATCGGCAGCAGGTCCTTCAACGAATACCCGGATCTAAACAAAAACAGTTTTTATATACATAAAATTTTATTACCGCCCGAGCGAAGACCGCGGCGCGGTATTCTGCCGCGGCCGCCTCACCACGGGACGCTCGAAGATGGTGTGCTAAAACCCAAAATAAAAACATAGAACGCTTTGATTACCGTTTGATGGAACTTCTCGCCATTTGGCCCATCCAAGAACGTCTCGCGCGAGGTGCCATAAAGTCGATCGTTTCCTAAAATGAAATGTCAGAACAAAATGAATCCAATACTTGGAGGGAAGAAAAATTGAAGGCCTGGACGGTGTGCGTTGTTTGACTCGGGTCTGAGCAACAAGGCTGAAAAGAGAAAATAAAATCAACACATTGCGTCGAACCAGTAAAAATCAAAAAGACCTAGAAAAGCTAGTTTTTGGTAGAACATCCTTCTAGTAAGGGAATCTACCTGGAACCCTCCTCTAATTGGGGGTGTTCTATGACCAAGTATTTCTATTTTAGCCCCCTCATCCATAATAGCCAACGGTGAGATTCTCGAAAACCCACTTTTATATCTAACCTCCTCACTGTTCTACAGGTCTGTAATTTCTAAAAAATCTCCGTCTTGTTCCGTAGGGTAAGGATAAACCACAATCGAGTAAAACAAACACGGAAGGATAGCAAATTTCGGATGAAAAACCCTAAATTTTAATTGGATTTCCGAAGGTTTACGGCTTCTATAGGGCCCAGCCCGCGGATATCGGGTAACCACAGTAAAAAAACGGCTTGCGTGCAGTTTTCCTTAATCAATCGGTCCTAAAAAATAAATTTGTTTACTAGATTTATATTCTCGTTAGTTTTAGCCTGCTCAACAAACGCTTTTTGAATCTAGGTGGTGAATTCTACTGCCGTAGCATTGATAGACGAGCCTGATTTAAAAAAACCCATAATTTAGGAAAAACCAGGCTTGAAAAGCCGCTTCGCGACTTTTCAATCCTGGCCCCGTCTAACCCATCATCTTCTTCACTCTGCATACATCTGTCGAATTCCTATGAGAAAAATGAAAAACTCCATTCTCTCGCGTTATATATAAGCTGCCGCCACTTCCGGCAGATGCTAATTTTTTCCCAACAAAGAAGGCTGTCGGATTTTTCAACAAAAACTCAATTTTAATGTAAAAAATAGCGTAATTTGCCAAATCTGATATACGTGCAGTCATCTCGGGGCCATTACGCACCTAATGACGTATCATACGTAGCCTAAAACCCTTCCCCTCTAGAGATATCCTCCGGACACGGTGACGGAAGTTGCATGCAAATGCACACACACACACACACACACACACCCAGGAACTATTTTTTTATATATAGTAGGATTAAGGGAATTCTGACCAAGTGATCCAGATTTAAGGTCGACACCGAGGAAAACTAGGATCAAACACGACAAAAGACGATCGCGAGCAAAGAAAGCCCAACTTTCTCCTACAAAATCTTTAAATAAAAAGCTTTACCATTCCAGTCGCCGCAGCGGGGGTCGACGGGGCCCGGTGAGCGAGACGGATGCGGATGCGGGGGCCGATTTGGCGTTCGATTGTGGTGGCCTCGCGGTGGCCGATTTGGCGTCCGGTAGTGGCCTGGTGGAGGCCGAGTCGGCGTCCGGTGGGGGCCTGGCGGGGGCCAATTCGGCGTCCAGTTGTGGCCTGGCGGGAACCGTCCTCCGCCTAAAATACGTATATTAAAAAAGAGCAGCAGAAAACCCACGTCTCGGTGGGCCGTACGGTGAGTACATGTCCGATGAGTCGTCGCTATCTGAAAAAACAAACATAAGAATAGCCAAAATGGGTAATTCTTACCCTCGGGACTCGTCGGGGCTGATCCCCAGGCTTCGGCCGGCAAGCCGTGGCAATCAACGGTTGACTCTGAAAAGTGACATTATAAAACTGAAAACAGGCCAGCAAAATTTTGCAAAAGCTAACCCAACGCCAAACCAAAACAGAAATAAAAATGGCAAGCGAAAAAAGAGGAAGCGCTACTAAACAAAGTACTACTAACCTTACATAGGAGTCGCGCGTAGCCTGGAATTGGGAAAGCTTCGGAATTGGCTTTGGAATCCATTTTTAAAAGTATTTAAAAGTTTAAAGTTTAAAATATTTTTTTATAATTTAGAAGTATCAAAACTTTTGAAAATTCGTGTCGAAAACGGTATGAATTCGACCGCAATTGGCAGATAATACAGAATCCGTAATTTTAGATCATGCTTTTCCTACTTTTTGAAAATTTATCTGTTTCAGAAATTTGCAAGTTTTTTTGGCCCGTGATCAATTCAGTCCAATCAATGTACCCGCTTCTAGAATTATACTTTTGATCGACCGTTTTTTGAAGAATTGCAATTTGCAACAATTTTCGAAGTTTTTAGTGGTGGATCGGGGATTCCAATCAAGGATCATCGAGCTAGGAGGAGCTAGATGTATCCAGATGCAATTGGCACATTCGTAGGTTCGATTTTTCGAATCATACTTTTTTACAAAGTTTTTTAAAAGTTTTGATAGGTTTCAATTTGAAAAACTTTCAATCGTTCCCAAGGTTTTGTGGAACCGGATTAATCCAATTGGTGGAATTCTTCGAGTCTAGGGTCGAGGTATTTAGTTCATTCTGGGGTTTGCCGGATGCAAACGTATAGCTTTTTCACTATTGATTTCAAGGATCCTGTGTCGCGCAATTAATTCAATCGTGGAAGTTGCAGTGTTTGAAGGCAATTTAGTGCAATCTCAGCTTCAATTTTATAATTATACGTCTTACAAGGTGTTTGTAGGTCTCAACGATTTCCAAGGTCTTCTCTGCTTCTATAGAACGTTTGGAATTTTACGTTTCTAAAGACATTTCTAGCCTTTCAAAAGATTCCAATGTTTGGAATTAGACCTTTCAACGTCTTTTGTCTGAAGATTTGTAAGTTTCAACGATTTTCAAGGTTATGCTTTCAAGGTTTTTCAAGGTTCAGAATTATGCTTTTTGCCATAGTTTATCTTTCGAATTATAAGTTTCAACGGAGTGGGAGGTCTTTGTCGGGAATGATGATGATATTCCATGGATGCGAACGCAATTTGCGAATTTTGCGTTGGATAGAAATTAATTTATCGATACGTTTTTGCATCAAAAACTGGTGTTTTACTCCCAATTTAAAATTTTCTATTTTTTGTCAAACTAAAAATTTCGTTTAGCTTAGCAACCGATTAACGCGCGTTTTGTACCTGGGAAGCTCCAAGGGCTTTCAGGCATCGTTTTAAGAGGACAGAAATCTGTTTTAGTGAATTTTAACGTTTTTTTTACTTTTAAAAGCCTACCTTCAGCCGGTGGGGTCAGCAAAGTGCTGTGGAAATCGTCGCATCTTTGTTGTTCGTCGAAGGTGGGCAGGGGGAGGAGGCCTGAAATTAGGCTCACGAACTGTTTTACGGACAAAGAAGGTCATAAATTGATTCTTTGACGCTGCCTCGTGTTTAGAGGGCCTTAAACCTACAGAAATAGGGATTTTAAAACTTTGTCTTTGTTTTAGAAAACGGATAATTGAATTAAGATGAAGCGCATGTAAATTCCGGTGAGGGTACTTTATTCAATAAATTGATTGCGTTTAGATGGTTTTAAAATGGCATCTAAAATTGTAACATTTTTTACTAAATGGCACTTTCTAGAAAATTTAAAAACGTTTTAAATGATCTTGATTTTTTGATAAAAACTGTATGAAAGGGCCAAGCCTGGCCAAAACCGGCAGTTTTTTGTAAATAATTTAACTAGGTTTTTAAGTAACAAAAAGGAAAAAGATAGTACATATATTAAAAAAATAGTTGCATTTATTGCTAACCTTAACAGTAAACAATTTTTACCAATATCCATAGTTGGCCGATAAATTATATGAATTTGAGTAACTTTCTCCGTACCTTTGCCGTTTAATTTTTGGAATTTACTAATAGCGTGTAAAAATTTTTTTAGAAAACTTTTCTTTAGAAAGTTTAATTTTTAGAACTTACTGAAAATAAATAGTTTTAAGTATTAAGTGAAATGAAAAGGTAGTAAAAATTGATTCATTTATGCTAGGCTTGATCTTCTAATTAGCAGAAAAAATGTGTTTTTCTGCTAATTAGAAGATTTTGCAATAAGTTATATAAATTTAAGTCGCTTTTACCCTTTCTTTAGCAAGTTCAATTTTTAGAACTTACCGATGGGAAAGGGGACATTTTCTAGCAGTTTCGGCGGGGCGACCGGTGCCGGTGGGAGTTCTGAAATTACGGTCGTACTTTAGCTTTACTTTATTTGTTTACTAGTACTATTTTTACTAATATTTCCTTTAATAATATTATTAAAATTATATTTAACATATTAAAACAACTGCAGTTTTTTATTTTTTATGTTTGATGTTTTTAGCTGGCTATTAATTACCATCTTTTTAAAAACTGACCAGGTTGAAAACGCTTTGTCATGAGAAGGGCGAGCCCGGTCCAGCTGCTGATGTGGTCGGCTTCAGGCGGTTTTTCTGGAAATTCAGGGATGTTTTTAAGATTTAAACGTTGCGTTTTTCGATTCCTTATTTTCGCATAGCTAAAATCATGTAGAACCAAGGTGAAAAGACGTTATTAAACTCAAAAATTTTTGCGAAATATGTTCGATTTTTGAAACACGGATTTCAAAAATTCGGAAGATGGAATCGGTAAATGATGGATTTTAACAATTATTTTTTTATTCGCAATAATACTTTAGAGTAAGTAGATGAAGATGAATTAAAAGTAGAAATTTACGAAAACACTTGATATTTTGTAACATAGAATTCAGCAAACTGGAGAAGCGGAATCGGAAGTGATTTGTTTCCGTGTTCAAGGATAACTTTTCGCGTTTAGAGGGGGTTTTTATGCATTATCGGGGGTGGGGGGGGGTCCAACTGTTTTTAGAAGTGCATAAAAACCCTAGCAAGCTAATAGTACGTATTTTAATAATGTTTTTTACTAAAATTTTACGATATTGCCAGTGGGAAACATTAAAAAAATCGAAACTTTCGGTGAGAAAAAGATATTGCTGTATTTTTATAGAAACTTGCAAATTCTAACTTTTAGGAATAGACAAATTTGGAATCAGAAATTGATTGGTGCATCCATGACTTTTTAATTTACAACAAACAAGCCAAAGCGATTAGAGGAGCAAATTTTCACTGGAGCACTTGGTATTTTGAAACATAATTCTTTTCATGTTTAAGGATAACGTGTCACTTTAGAGGGGCCTTTTGCATTATCGGGGGGGGGGAATTGTTTCCGAGAAGACCAAAAATGCCTAGAACCCACTTTAATAGTGTTTTTACGAAAATGTAACGAGATTGCAAAAGGAAACCTATGAAAAAAGAGAAAAAAAATGCCAAAATGTGATCGGAAAATCAATATCTTCTTTTGTATCTTATAATGAATTTTTGCAAGTTTTTTTGCGTTGTTTAATATATAGTTCTATAAATTTTACATTTCTTTTTATATACTTTTATGGTTTTAGCTACTTAATAGTTCATAATCCCATTAAATAAAACAACATTTAGCCAAGCTTGTCGGGAAGAAGAGGATCTAGGACAGATCGAATTTTGGAATAAACATAGAAAGTGAGGTGTCGCGACAAATGTGCCCTGGGGGGCGTGACTGGCATGACTAATAGCCCCCAGCAAAATACTTGTCCCTAGAACAAATATAAATATTAAAACAAATAAACAATGTATAAACAAAAAACGCCCCTGAATGGGCATACAAATAACCTGTTGGAATGTATAAAAAATAGCCAATCTCACACCCATTCTACGGCTGCTTTAATTAATCAACTAATAATAACGATAATTTTTGGAATTAAATAATAACTTCTTGGACCTACCCTCACATTATTGATTAATGGCCAAAAAAGTAAACGTATATGATGCAGGGCGATGAAACACAAAAAATTAATCGAAGCTGCCGAATTTTCACCAAATTTCACGAAGTGCTAGAAACCGACAGGTATCACATCGTATTTTTCGTATCATTTCACCGCGTGATAGTTCTTTGGTTTTGATAAAAAATAAGTTCTTTTTTACAAAAGCATGCATGTAAGGAACAAGTACAATTAGCAAGTCTCGACGTATTTTCGGCTACATGATCCCAGAAACATCGAATTTCGAAAATCAATAGGAAAGAAGCTTTATGAAATTTTTAAACTCTTATTTAATAAAAACATGATAACTTATCAACCGGTGGGTTAAAAGACTATGAATAGTTGGAAAAATCGGAATTATTACTCCTGCTAACAGTCCAGTGTCGACAACACTAAAAAAAAAGATGATTTAGTATTAAACGCGTTACAAAATGAGTACGGGCCGTAAGATAGATATACACATATACGATAGAAAAACGGCTCAAAAAATTTTATCTATTCATACTTTTTGGTAAAATATGCAGAAAAAAATGGGCAAAACAATAAAAAATTTGAAATATTAATAACTTTCTCCATAGCAAAAACAACAAAAAACACTATAAAAATTAAATCTAGCCCTAACAGGTGGGGAAGAAAAATGAAAGTTTGCTTGCTCGTGGTCGTTAATTACGGGTCAAATAAAATTTGCGGGGCAAAGGTGAGACACATAAAAAAGACACATTTAGGGAGTGCGACTCCCATCTGGTGCACTAAAAGATGCCCCGGTGAGATAGGGCGTTTTTTGGGGGTGTGGGAAAGGAGGGAGGCGAGGGAAAAAAAGACAGGGGAATGCTGGTAAAGTACACATGCACTTTGGGGGCCCAAAATGACCCGATCTTCCCCCCGAAGAATTATCGAAGCAATTCCTTGGGGCGTGTTTGGCGAGTCCACGAAACCTGCTAAGCCCCTTAACAACCGATAAGGACTCTAGAATAAAAAAAGACAATTGATTTTATTAAACTCGATTTAATGATTTTTTTTATTCGTTAGATTTTGTTTAATCATGTGGATTTTTGTTGATGTGAATTTTGCGGACTTTCTAATAATCACGCAATAATGTGAATCATATTCGATTTTTGATAAAACGCGAAATTATAGGTTTCAAGTAATCATGATATTCTCGAAAATATTTTTGCTAGTTGGCAAATGTTGGTAACGAGGAAAGGATTTTTTTACATAAATCTCGAATTCTCTAGTAATCAACGAATAAGTGTTTTAATAGTGTTTTTAGTGAAATATAACTACATATGTTTAAACTAGCTATCTAAACCATCTAAAACCTTTTTAACAGTTTTAAAAATTTTGGGCGAAGGATCGAGAGTTTTGATATTTTTTTAATAAAAATTTGTGAAGCTTTTATGCTTAAGAATAGTAAAAGACCATTTAAAAAACTCCCACTATTTTTATTTGAAAACTTAGATCCTAAGCAAAAAAGGTGACTCCAAGTAATGCGAAAGTCGTAAAAAAAATGTGATTCAATAAAATGGGCTGTTTCCCGCAAAAAAATAGCCACTAATACCGTCATCTTCTAGAGTATATATGGGTCGGGGCCTGCGGGCGCCGCCAAATGCCCCTCTCGAGGAGCCTTTTGGGGGCGTCTTGGGTGGGGCCGGCGGGCGCCGTGGGTGGGGCATTTTTCCGGTATGCAGCGATGCAAATTGCGAAAAAACGCTTTTCAGATGACTTTTTGCAATTTACATCGCTGCATACCGGAAAAATGCCCCACCCACGGCGCCCGCCGGCCCCACCCAAGACGCCCCCAAAAGGCTCCTCGGGAGGGGCATTTGGCGGCGCCCCCCAGGCCCCGACCCATATATATTCTAGAGCATATCTGTTTAGCCGGATTCTTTCTGGATTGTCGGTCAATTCTTTCTGGATTGGATGGTTAGCTCACCGGTTCAGAAATCAAATTGCTACATCTTTTTTTAGTTTTTTATTTGTGCTAACCGATCATCCATTTTTCATCAATCATCACACAACCGAATTGAAATTAGCTACCCGTTAAAGTCTCCAAATCTACCTAAAATCGGAAGCATCAAAATTTTCACTCACGCAGTATCGTGAAAAGAAGGAAAGCGGGAAAGCAGGGAAATTATAAAGCAAAAAATATCAGATTTTCTATGATATATTTTGTAAAGGTCGAGGATACCCGCCGGTGACTGTTAATTAAAATGAAAGATTTTGTTACAAGCTACCTTCGACATAATAGCATCGTTTCAGGTCCTCGAATTCCCCAAAAAAGCTGAAACATTTAACTGTCCATCCTCAATATATATGAAAAAAGTCGGGTATTTTAAACTTATGAAGTTTGGAGTAACAATTTTCCGGTATATTCCATAGAGATTCAGCAATGGCAATTCCAATTAGTTGCAATTCAAATTAATTCCATTATTGGGTTGCATAACGGTACTATAATAACTTCCATCTGGGGCAGCAGATTTGCCAAAAACTTGAAACACTGAACTGTTGAATCAAAATTTGCCCGGAGGCAGCGTTTTCCAACTCAAGTTTGAAAAAGCAGAAAAGAATTGGTTCTTTGGCATTATCGGGGGGAGGGGCGGTTTTTCCTAAATGTCTAAAAAATGCCTAATGAGTTTTTTTATAGCACTTTTCACAAACTTAAACCTGTTAACTGGTAAAATAATCTACAACATGTGGAAAATATCGAATCTCCGTCAAAAATCTGGATTTTTCCGCGAAAAATCTATTTTGTATTTCTTAACAAAACTTTGAAACGGTTCTGTGTTTAAGGATAGCGAAAACAGGTTAAAACCCTACTTATAATAATATTAGAAAAATTAGAAAATTAGAAAAGTCCTAAAAAGTGGGTTTCAAATTTTTCAAAGAGCCGAAACCGGCTAGCAGGTGTTGTTGGGGGTACCGGGGAGTGCAGGCACTACTGACAGTGTAAAAAGCCGGCGTTC